AGATGTAGGAAAAGTAACTGCTTTGGATAATGGCGAAGCTCACTTTTATTCGCATCCTACCTTTTGCTGTTTATGTCAAAGAAGAGGAGGTGACTGCGGGTGATAAATGTAATGCCTTCTCTTCATCATTGTGATTGGTCGTACTTACCTACGATAGAGCACATTTTGGAGGTGAAAGTTTGTAGCTAAGCCAATGTGACATCCTCTCGCTCACCTCAATATTGAAGCCGCGGTGGAGGAGGGCAATGAGAAAGTCCTGAAATGGCTCCTCAACGGACGGTGAGGAAAAGCTGAAGGCGATTACGTAATCTATTTGGCGAATGCCATCAGACAAGTACATCACGTCCGCCTAAAAAAAAACAACAGAACTCGTTCACTGAAATACACTACCTAGTTCTGTTCGTACAAGAGGGAAATAATTGTGAGAACCACGCAGTGTAATGTATGTTGACGTTTATCGCCTTAATAAGGAGTGTATGTGAAAAGACAGATGTGGTTGAAGTGAGTGGAATGAATGATTGAGGAATGGGGGAGTGCAAGAAGAATGGACTTAAAGATGGTTGGGTGTTGGTAGGTTAGGCAGGGAGCATCACGGAGCAGAAACAAATTACTACGAAATGTGGATGCTGCACTAGCTGAAGCGAAGTGCATAGACGGTCATATCTAAAATGAATGGAAGGTAGAATGGATGCTGAAATGTTCACATTGGATGGCAGACGATTAGTGTCCGTGCACAGGATAACGGTATAAAATGTGCCTAATTTTAACAGTTTCGATGGCTATTATTCTTCCGTTAACTATGCGAAAACAGAGGAGTCTCCACTAAGTAAGAATATGATTCTCTTGTTCAACCATTGCACTACGTTGTTTTTGGCACAAGTCACTTGATGACTTAGAGCAAATAGGCAGTCTGCGACACTTACCATTGTTCTGCGTCTGCAAAGTGAGCAAACCTAACGTAGCTGCGCAAAGTCAATTAGAGGCAGTGCAGTGATTGGAGACTCAGTGAATGGCCTTGTGGGTGGGCAGCCTATAGGAGTGTGAGCAAGTTGGGTATGTCGTACGAGCACGCGTGCTGCGCATCAGCCTTCCACACAAACGCGTACGTGCCTGTTCGCTCACTGTAGACTGGCACAACCTGCCTCCTTCGTGCTGCAGCCCGCTTTGGAATAACTGTTCATGCTGAAATTTCGGTAATTTTGCAACCTCAAGTAAAAGGGAAGCAGTGGCAATCACGGGAGCATTAGACAAAAACTTTATTTGAATGCTGTGATCTACCGAGTGGGAAGCGTTTAGTTCTCATTTCGTAAGCCAGCTACAGACACAGAAACATACGGGTGCCAACACGAAAGAATGTCAGAATGAAACACCACATCCACGAAGGTAGCCACCAGTGATAGTTTGCTCGTTTTGGTGATGGGAACCACAAAAATGATGCTAAAGCAAATGTCGTTGTAGGAGGCTGCATTCATATTAAATGTTGTCGTCAAATTCAGTCACCTGCCAGCAAGCGATGTGAATGCAAATTTGTTCGCAAAGATGAGCTCAGCCATCTATCTAATCGCCTTATCAAAGCTGCAGTCATTCGCTGCGTTACGCAGCCCCCATCTGCCACTGAGAAAGGCAAAAGGTGGATATTTCTCTCAGCAAACCCATGCAGGTAAAGCAGCCAATCAAGAGAAGTGATAATTTCGAAAATACGAGCTGTCAAAACGCGGTAAATGCCAAAGTGTTAATTGCCTAATTGACGGGAGGATAATTTCCCTAACTAACTTACTGCTGGCTCTACGTGGGACTGGGAGAGAGTCAACGATGTGGCGGTTTAAACGGATGGATATGATGAGTGGCGTATTTGACTGAAAAGGATATAGGTAAGGGGAATTGGTAGTCAGCCGCAGGGACGCATACAAGTCCCCAGGTCCTGTCCTACCACCAAATTATTGCATGCATGCACGATGGTGTTTGGCCACTTGGGTGTGGTCGCTCCTTGACCACATCTGCTCACCTACACAAGCTTGCTGTGCCCACTTATATTCTCGTTTTCTCACTTCCTCTCACTCAACTCACTCACTTACGAGTCCCTTCCTCTCATGAAAATTGCATCGTGCTGAATTACGTCTTCTCGCTTCTGCAACAATTCTACCCAGTTAGATTATTCGAATTAAAGCTGCGGTGTTGACAATGAGAATGCTGGAAAAGATTTTAGGCTTGACCAGTTCCGCATGAATGATTTCGTCTCGGGTTACACGTGTTCCAGTGCTTGCTTTGTGTGAAGCGCGACTGTCGCATTTGCATCTGCGGTATCA